CTTAAATGTCACTAGTGGGAATTACAAAGTGGACAGTGTTGTCATCTCACTGTTTTAGGTGACAAAGTTGATACAAATTTCCCCTTGATCAGTGATGAATTTTATGCAAACCACGAATTAGTCTCGAGAGATGGTCTATCTCCTTGAATAAATCAACTAAGAGGATAACTATAACTGCACGGATTCTTTATCTCATAACATCTCAAATCAGAACTGGTGTAGATATAGCGACAAATGAGTCAGCTGTCACTTGAATGCTGGGCTACTAACATAAGAAAATAATCCAGTTTACACTAAGGAGAACCAGTTACCTTTAACGGGGGTCGATACATAGTTTTATGCACTTCATTCAAACCAAAGTCACTTTTACTGGGAACCTGTTTATAATGTGTATTATGTGCTGTTTCAAATTCAAAAATTTGTTGAGAAATGGAAATCCGACTGAATACGCTTGATTTATCAAGAAACCCTTTTTACTGCATAGGGAGAATGTGTCGTGTATACAGCAGATGGTGCGTGAACTGTAGAGCTAGGGAACAGTGAACAGCTGTTTTGACTGTGTTGGGTCTCGTCAGCAGTGCAAATCCATCGACCCAATTGGGGATCGTACTCAGAACCTCACAGACAGAACGCAAGAATTTAGCCACTCGGTCACCGGTTAGCTGATTGGACCGGTTTTCATTTTGGCCCAATGCATCTTTGCGAGCTTGTTGTGGGCATAGCGCTTCGCTCATCTCAACACTAGCCTCCGAGTTAAGACTCAGTTGGAAACTTTCACAACCTGCATGTGAGCATTGAAGGATTATTTTATCGGTCGAACAATAAATCACCCAAAATTAATGTTCGTCCACATTACATGATTGTTTGAAAGTACTGTTTTTGGGCTATAAATAATTACTTTAGAATTTAACAGCATTTTAGAACACATATGCATATAGAATGAATTTCCTTATTACGCAGATTGCAATGCGTCATGTGTCTATGTATATTCAAAACCGCAAGCATGGTTGCCTACTTAAATGGCCCAGCATACTCAAGGCACTGGCCTTGAATCATCAACGGTTTTATTCGTTCATACATCACAAGACAATAGAATGTCGCAATTAGTTATGTGATGGATGAAAGATGAACACAAAAACAGAAGTAAGAATAAACGAATGAACACGGGCAGTAATCAAATACATCCGCAGTACAAGTTCACAACAGGAAAAGGAAGCAATGGTGATCATTGTATGTGAGTGTGTATGTGATCCAAAACGACCATACATGACAAACATGTCCGGGGTGATCCTTTGCAGCTTGTGTGCTTATGCATTTCAAACTTCATATATGATGCCAATGCGCTCTTATTCGGGGAGGACGGAGCAAGGGATCGTAAACAGAAACATAAATGCAAACGAGAATTATTGCCTCAGTATCTGCCTGACTGAATGAAGAACTGAATAAAGGATTTCTCTACTGAACTGCTGCATGTGGTTTACGCTCACACCGCTTCAACAATAAGAACATTCAAGCATATAGATGGGAGACAGAGAGTGAAATCAAAGTTGAAAGAAGCCATTGTTCGTTAAGTTAAACAGTATAGCCGATAGGAGCAAAGTCATGTTACAACATAACAACATATATAAGAATAATAATCATACCAGTAGTGCTACGTTGTTCGTACAAATGACCTGGGATTAGAGATCGTGTTGAAGAAGGAGGTAGCAAGGACTAATCTGTGATGCCATTTCTCGTGTTTTATTTTCATTGCTTCATTTTATTTTGAACAAAATGCAAATAGGAGTTTGCAAACTGTTGTGTATAACAGATGGACAGCAAAGTACATAAACGTCACAAAATCATCGGATTGCGTAACACAGCAACACAGCTAGACAGGTGTTCTTGAGACGGGGAAAAATGAATTGACCGAAAAAACGATCCAGCGCAAAAGATAAATTCGAGCAGGCGGTACATCATACAAACGACAAAATGAGAGAAAAACATGTCAAAGAATAGTAAGTTCTCACCAATTTATGATTAGCTGAATTTTCGAAGAAAATCGTTAAGTGTTTAGTGTTTTGCATTATAATAACCCATATATGGGTGATAATACGTGAAGGCCGGTTGATCGCCTTGCGTTCGAGTCTGCAATGTACCGGGTCTGGAAACAAATCCATGATCGTTCTGTATTGCGGAGGATCGCATTCGTCCGTTCGACCCTGTGGACTGAGCAACTCGTGTTAAAGCCGGTGCTGATGATGCTGCTGGTGGTGATGGCGGCGGTGGTGGTGGCTTCGGCGAAGATGGCGGTACGTGTGGTACTACGACTGGCATTCCGTAATCTCTTCGATAGACGTTTTGACCATTCGATGGCATTCGAGGATGAACTTGCTGGTCTATATGGGCAGAGAAATAACCTGGGGCGTTACGCAATCGTTGCACCCGACGAAGGCGTGTTGTTCCGCCATCCTTATCGTCCTCGAGTGTATCACATTTACCTCGAGCTGCTCGTCGGAGAAATTTCGTCAGTCGACGACGCCAGGCCTCTCTCCAAGGCAGTACCACGCTTTGTTCATCTAGCATTAACTCCATACGATTTCCATTCGGAACCTGTTAAAAATCCATTGCGTTAGGAATGATTAGGATCTAAATACACGAGTTTTTCAAAAGGATTCACAGTATGAGAACAATATTGGTCTATTTGAATTATTAGAAACCAACTCAGGTTTCTAAACTTCTGAAAGACACAAGATGTAAAAAATCAAATAGGTAAGACCTGAAAGTCAGGACCAAAATTATCAGTTTATTATGTAGATCGGCAACTTTCGAACTTCTACGCGTTTTACCGTGATACTAAAGGTCATGCTATTTCAAACAATGATAAAACTGATTTGAGAGCATTACAGTGGGAACATTCGGAATAAGCACTTAACCCATGGTGACCAATTCGCAAGTATGAAATTGGAAACAGAAATATATTTTGGAATTAAAGGTAGTGTCACATAAGTTAGATCAACCTGATCGTCAGTGATAAAATTTCTTACATTGAATAAACTAAATTAGTCTGTACATGTTTCAGCTTTTCGGTCAATATCGATTGAAGGCGCTGTTTGTTAAACAAAGGAGAGCATGAAATTGTATTTGTAAATTGTAACTTGTAATAGGCTGCCTCTTACGATGCATCGTCCATTAGACTGGAATGCGCGTTTTATTCTATTAAACGGACTTGCAGCTGCATAATCATTGCCGCTCCCCCAATATTTGGTAAATTCAGTGCTATTGCATATATCATTTCCTAGTATCTCGCACACCAAAATTAGATAAACTAATTGGTGGTGTTTTCGGTTTGTCAGCTGAGGCAAAACACCCTTGCGTTTCAGTGTGCAAACATTTTACTGAAGGACTGCTGAATCTGCAATTTTGGTTGTTCCCCGCATGAAGGACAAAAATGTGTTTCAATGTTCAAATCAAGATTAACATTTGTTAAGAACCGTCAAAATGCTTGAGAACCTAGATGTTGATGGTACCAAGCACACGTCAACTATATCCGCGGAAGTATAGTCAGATGTAGGTTTATACTTCATGTAGCTCTGTCATCTAATTGCTTGGTTGTGCACAAACAGACAGTGCTCTGACCCAGTGAGCGAAATGTTAGACCATTTGGGAGCCCACCAATCACATATAACAATGACTTACCTGATAGTGCCATGTGCAACTATGCTTGGGTGATAATCTAGGTTAACAGCATATCGCATATGCGCCAGGGCACATCACTGAAAATTTGAAATCCGTCTTTGATATTTTCTCTATCTACGGTGGCATTTCGTCCAAATGGATGTGGGTATTTGAAGTGATTCAAATTAGGATGGTTAAGGACACAAAAAGTCCGGTGTAGACTTCACAAATTCTCCTGCAAAACAGTGGTCACCCGAAAATGTGGAGTCATACAACTGCCGCAAAACACAGATTCAGTGCATGTGTACCACACACTTATGACCTGATCAATATCTGTTCTTACCACGCATTGAAATGGTCCTGGATAGAACACTCTGAGGTAAGCGGGTCAAAAATCACGATTGATCATGGTAAGTGTGTAATTGTGACAGATAGCCAAACCTACTTGAAACGTTGGATCTGATCCCCGATTTATAAGAGCATTTAACAGGTCATCGTTTGTTTTTCTCGGAAGTTTCTGGCCTACAAACGACTGAGCATCGCAGAGGATAAAACCTGCCAACTATTTTGTTTGCCAATTATGGCCAACAGTGACTCAAGCCGCTTGGCATAGTGGTTGCACACACGCCATTCATGTCTGGGGTTTGTATTTCACATCTCGATTGATTTAGTGAACATGTACCACGAATGAGTTTTCACAAAAGCGAAACTTGAATCAGATTCTTCCAAAGCCCATGGTTATTTGGATGAGCTGAAGAGCCTGTGTGAAGGTGAAATCTCTTTTTTTCATTTTACTTCCTTTTGTTGAATATACAAAGAATAAACAAGGAACATACAAAGATATATTAAAGGCTTCCATCAAACAAATAATAGGGAAAGCCAAGCGATTGGAGTGGAATTCGAACACACCTTCCCCGGGGTGATAACTTGGTCACTTTACCACAGTGTCATCATTACCCTATCGTGATGATGGTCAAAATACATCAGTATTCATTAACGAGAAACTGTCTTATTATACGACTAAAAGTGGATGACCAAAGTGAGGTTTCACAATGGATTTAGGGTAAGAGGGACCAATCATTTGTAATAATCTACTGTGAATAGTGAAGACACTTGTTCGTCTTTGAGATTACATCTTGTCTTTGAGCCTTGTTAACATCAAATTGTGAGTGTTTCACTTTTATGTGAGAGTTTGGAGGATTTATCATAATCACGTTACATGGAACCAGCTTGTAATATTTCAACCGAGTGATAGCCCAGCAGCCTATTGCTGAGGTGCGTAAGGGGCGATTTCTGCAATAAGCTCGCAAAGATAGGTGGAGCTCTATCATATCGAAGGAAAGTGAAAAACGTTCTGATCAACCGCCCTGTGACCGAGTGTGTAGTGTGCTTGCATTCTCTCCGTGGGGTTCCGGCTTTGATCAGCAGTTGAGTCGATGGATTCGCTCACTGCTGATACCAGGCCAAATCAAAACATCTGTCCAGTGCCTGTTAGCTTTTCACTTCACGTTTCATTTGCTTCGTACACAAGGGCCTTCAGTATGTACGTTTATTTTGTTGGGATAGTTTGGTATGATAGATCTAATGGTATAGGGCCTTGGTTGTGTATATCTCATTAGTATTATATGGTCAAGCATATATGTTTATGATCCTGAGAATGACCATAAATGACCCACCTTGCCCAAACCTGCTAATATGATCGCACTAATAACGGAAAACTATATGTTGATCGACAGATTTCTGGTACATACACGAGTGTGTTACTAGTGGGGAATGAACGACCCCACAAACAGTGAACCCAAACGCAAAACCACCAATGTTACCCGGAGCATGCGATCGATCGAGGGGGCCAATTCAAAGAAATCGAAGCAGCTTGGTGAATATGATGCTGATTTGTTCAACAGGCTTGATTCACTAGGAAATATTGGTCACCACTGAATAACAAATGCGACCCATTTGTTATTTAAATAAAATGGATCGTTTTGAAATAAAATTTGCATGCGATTTTATTGGGAACTCTGTTTTACCGGAATAAACCTTCAACAACTCAGGAACTACTTATAGATTTCAGCACCCCATAAATGGGCCTTGCCACCAATTGCAAAATCCATCGGCTAATATACCCTGAACCACTAGTTTCTTGAATTCCTCAACCTAGGTAGACTGCGTCCTTCGTTGAGGAACTGGGGAATCGTTATGCAAAATTAAGGCGTACCAAATCTCAGAACAATCTTCTAATTACTCAGTTTGGTCGATTGGTTTTTATAAAGACCTCCCCACAGGGAGTTTACATTTCGAGCAAACGCGTTCTATGGGTCGGGTTCTTATACAACGACAAAAAATGCTGCTCAGTTGTATGACAAAAGCAGCTCCAACTTTCTTTTGTTGTGATGGCTATCATTCACATACAGTGTAAACCGTAAAATTGCTATCTGCAATGAAAATGGCTATAATTTAAGAGCCGATTCAACAAGTTGCATTAATATGCCAGGTGGTCCTTAAGATGCTATTATAGAATAATTAAGACAGTCAACTTTTATTGCGGCGCCAATACAAAGAAGTTTGAACCGTCAAACAACGAAAACCAGAATTCCACGATACCTAACTGAAACAATTCAAACTTACACTGTAAGTTTGAGATGACTACAGTAATAAGATTTTCATGAAGCGCCGCTTCAGTCTTTTTTTCATCAAATTTCGGTTCGGATTCCTCTTTCTTACAACTAATCAATGCCCAGATGTCCAATGTTTGTGGACCATCTAGAAACTCAGACGAATATTTATTCTGTGGTGACGGTACTTTTCCTCAAGCTCACCAAAATCTATATGACGGAATGATAATCCCAGAAATACTCTTGTCATCATGTGTTCCACTAGCGATGATTCTTCATAGTTTTCTTCCTGCCCTTCATTATGCAATGATAAAACACTAAACCACATGTTTAACTTATGCTCCACTTTTGAAAATCGATTGGTCTGTAATGAAAGAATAGCATCTCCACTGTTGAAGCCATTCGGAATACATAAGGAACGATCGTACAAATCTAGGGTTGCAGCAGTTGTCAAGTACTATACGTACCTGATCAAAGCTGAAGTACGTCTCCCAGTTTCTGCATTGTAGCAATAGTAATCAGATATGACAAGGTATCAAATTGCTTTGTGCGACAAAAGCCAAAATTCCGGGTTTTACAACGGATGTTTACAGTGTCAACACAGCATTTATTCTTCCATCAAGCGATACCGTCGCGCCATTTGTTCTGAATGAGGCTGTTTAAGTAGAGGCCGTTTCGAAAGTAGAACCTTTCGACCTTTTTCGTAAAAGAAAAATCGGATCCAGTTTTGGTCCCGATGATCTTCCAGCTTCCCTCCTGTAATGTAGGGCCTAAATTCTCAATGAAACAATTGCAGCAATAATAAACATTTCCCTAAACACCTGCTCGGTACCAGACTCTTCAGTTTGCCTATAAACCAAACAGATTCATCTCGTTTGTACACAAAATTATGAAATCCTTAAATGAATCTGTGAAATTTGTTCATTGTCTTTTTGGACTACATATCAGCTCTAGATTCTATTCTTCCTCCCTTCTTCTTCGTAAACTGAATACTTTCGGTCGTCCCAGATGTGTTAGCTTTACTTGCTGATTAATTCTCCGAAAGAACTGGGTACCAGACCAGGTCGCAGGAAGTCCAAACCATTGGTGAACAGTTTAGGGGTACTCCAAGGGGAAGCGCTTTCCCCAAACTCATTTTCTAGTTATATTATTGACTTGTCTTCTAACGCCCCTACGTTTCTCTGTGAATACGCTGACAATATGGTTTTACGCTAGCAACGACAATGGCGATAACCAGAAGATGTATTGAAGAACCCGCTCAGTTACGACTGCAATGCAGTCTTCAGCGCTTGGCAGAAAAGTTGCATCATCGTTGTGTGATGC